ATTGGGTGAGATGTGTGTGTGTGTGTGTGTGTGTGTGTGTATGTGTACGATTCCTAACATGAGTAATTGCTGTTCTGAGAGAAGTTTTATGGCCTTTCTGCTGAAAGCCTTGAATTATGCCATGCAGAGACATTGACTGACCAAGACTAAGAGTGTGTGTGTGTGTGTGTGTGTGTGTCTGTAGAGGCAATTCAGTTCTCTCACTGTCTTGACAATTTGTACTTGACTTGTATATTACGGTGTATGCAGGAATCTCAAGGATTGAGTGGGAATTAAGTTCTTTGCCCACCTGCCATTTTTACTATATATATATATATATATATATACATATATATATTTGGTTGTTGTTAAATTAAATGTATATTATTATTATTATTTCATATTTGTTAATTTATTTTTTTTATTATTTATTTAATCAGTAAAAAAATATTTAAAAATATACATTTATATATTTGGAAATCCTGTAACCCTTACTGTAAACCTTAAAAGCTGTTTAAACTGACAGCCGCAATATTTTCAGTGAAAGTTGGTGATAAACATTTCTGAAATGTTTATATTTATGCAGATGAGCTGAACAGTGCAAATAAGAACTGCTTTCTGAACGTTAACATTTAAATACAATCAGTTTATGCCATTTTTGTCTGTTTTGACCTGTGGGTGGGAAGAGGACTAAACTTACAGCAGGTTTAGACAAGATCTGGTTTTGTATGTTACAGGAGTGAAAAGATGTAGAGTGTGTGGGTGAATGCCATTTTATTTCAGCACTCTGATTTGATTTTTCTTTTCATTGTGATTATGCAGCACTATCAGGTGATCTCACTCTGTGTTTATACCATAAATAACAGTACATTTTATTTTTCTTTATGCACAATTTCTCATTTTGTTCACAAAGGGTAGTTTGAGGTCTCGGATCCACCCTATAGTTTGGGTGGTGTTCATTTAACACCTCTGCCTGTGCTCATGGACACTTTGTATTTGAGTGTTATGCATGTGTGTATTTCTGTGTGTTTTGTGGTTTGCTCTTTTGTTAAGTGTTAATTTTTGCAAACCTGACAGAAAACTTTAAAATCTTGTGGAGAAGACGTGCTGTTATGCAATACACCTGCCATTTATTAAAGTGGGGGGAAATCACAGACATATTTCAGGTTCTTTTAGCTTCATCTTTTACTATGACGGCATGTTAATTGTACATATGCTTTCAGTTTGAATCAAAACATTTATTTAGTGTAAGCTTATAAACCTTTATCTGAATAATTTTAAGCTTACATGAATTATATTTTTTATCAGTGATAAGTAATGGTGATGTTGGTAATTGATGTAGGTGTTGTTGATTTAGGGAGATTATGGTTATTGATTTAGGGCTGGTAGCTACTCGAGGTGAAATTTGCGTTCAAATGCACTTGGTCCAAATGTTGGTCTTGGAGAGATATTAAACAGTCTTGTTTGTCTTCAATTTTTGTAAACGGTCGTAAAAATTAAAGTTAAATTTAAGTATTATTTGATCTTTTATTACCATAATATTTATTGTTTATATAATTATTGTTTACATAATATATAATTATTTAAATATATTTAATTTATTTCTAATCTTTTCCCATATTATTTGTCTTTTTGTTTGTAATTTCTGTCGGTCTTTATTTTATTTGTTAACTTTTTTATTTATTTGTTTATTTTATTTTTATTTGTATATTTTATTTATGTTTATTTAACAAACATAGGGTCATATATATACAAATACAAAACACCTTTAGCGTAACACACATGACACTAAAGTAATTCAATAAACATTAACTAAATTTAATAAATTGTAACATAAAACACCCTAATGTACAGTACTGATAAAATAATAAGAAAAACTATTTAAATGAACTATAATCATATGTGATGTGTCACACAGGGAATTCTGGGAATGTTTTTTATTGTGAATTTTATAGCAGTTCATAGATTTATAGTTTTTACCACCATAAATTCAGCATTTATTTTGCCGTAAAATTACATGTAATGTTATCCATTTACAGTTTTTCATTTTATATGGGACCTTTTTCTGAAAAAATTACGAACATACCACAATTCAGAATCACAAAGCTTAATTGGTATTGGTACTGACTGCTGAAATCATGGTATAATGATAAACATCTTGGTAGTTTATGTATATGTTGTTTAGGTGATGTTGGTAGCTATTGTTGGTCATTTTTGTAGTTCATGTAGGTGATGTTAATTTTGTTCTGTTGTGACATAAACTATATTGTTTTTCAGAATCCACTTTAGAGGTTGGCAGCAGAATGGCTCTGGGAGGTGGAGTTGGGGGCGGGGACAGCACCCTGGGGGCAGTGCCAGAGGAGAGGAGAAAGAGGAGTGGGGCGGAGCTAAGAGAGCTATGGAGGAAAGCAATTCTTCAACAGATTCTCCTGCTGCGGATGGACAGAGAGAACCAGAAACTACAAGGTGAAACACAAGTACACACGCAGTAACTATTATCACTGTGAATATTGTCAGTTCAGCATACAAATTACCTAGTAGAGAACTGACAGCCTTTACATACTCTATTAACAAAAAATGTAATCAATTATGAGATTAGATTTGTTGAAAGGAATTTTGACAAAATCACATAATTTTCCCAGTTAGCTCTACATAGTTTATATTCCCCATTGCAGGAAAATATTGGCCGTACTTTATGTTAGCTTATTTAAGTTTATTATTATTATTATTACTTTTGTTAATGTTAGTATTTTTCTGCCTGTACAAGATCTTAAATGTGTTTTTATGAAATCACAACATCCAGGTTATTAGGTATTATGTGATTATAAAGCTTAGTTTGTTCTTGCCCTTAGGATTTATTCAATGAATGGTATTGAGCATTAAGACTTCCTTCTGCGGTTCTTGGGAATTCAGAGCTGCTTTTAGGTCATATGCAGCTGTCAAATGGGTGATTTGCTTGGCATACGTTCAGCCGGCATACACAAAAGCACCTCCCATAAACAGTAGCGTACACACACACACACACATTTCTGCACAACCTGATGCAGCCATGCGTTGCCTTACCTGGAAGTCCCTGCTGCAGGTTATGAGATGATCATGACAAGTGAAGAGTTTTGCTGGCACAGATGCGCTCTGATTTGGGTGTGCTCATGATTGGCAGTGTCACGCCTGCCCTGCCATGCCCAGTCATGCTTCTCTGAAAAGAAAGAACAGAAGCTTGAAAAGAAGCAGCCAATCCTATTGAATAGGGTGTGGATGTAAAGAAGTGGGTCAGAAGAAGTGTACTGGAAAGACTCTGCCCTACATCTAGCCTGCATTTATTTTACCACTTTACTTCTCAGTCACAAGACTTTTGATGTTTGACATTTTGGAGACTTCTATTTCTATTTATGTATGTATGTATGTATTTATTTATTTATTTTTGCCCCATGGCTAAGGATGGTTGGGGAGAGTATTATTTCCCTTCTTGCTGTTATATCTCTTGCTGTAATGAGAGATATAAGTTCCCGTTGATGCAATAAGCGCGGTTGAACTTAATAGTCTTGATAATAATGACAGAATAGAAATTATGTGAATTTAACACAATTTCTAGTTTATATTTACATGTACTGTTGCTTCAGTAACAGTAGTGAAGAAGTTCTGCTGCATGCTGGGCACTGTTTTTTTTTTTATAACCCAGGGTTATATAATCAAATTAAATATTTTATATGTCCACTACAAAGGTTTGGGGTCAGTAATTAAAAAAAAAGAAGAAATGAATACTTTTATTCTGCAAGGATTCATCAAATTGATCAAAAATGACAGTAAAGACATTTAAAATTTTACAATATTTCTATTTTGACTCTGAAGAACTCTGAAGAATTCTGAAGAAAGTATCATCGTTCTACACAAATACTAAGCATGTGCTATGTGTACTGTGCCAGACAAACTGAGACTTGTCACAGCACTTGTATACTGTTGCCCTCTTGTGGATTGCTTCTATTGTTCTCCTCATTTGAAAGTCACTTTGGATAAAAGCGTCTGCTTAATGATTAAATGTAAATGTAAGCAGCACAACCGTTTTCATAATTGATATGAAATGTTTTTTTGAGCACCAAATCATCATATTACAATGATTTCTGCAGGATCTGATGAAAATTTTACTTTGCCATCACAGAAATAGAATAGAAATAGAAAATAGTTACTTTAAACTAATAATATTTCACATTATTATTATTATTATTATATTTTTTACTGTATTTTTGATCAATTAAATGCAGCCTTGGTGAGAATAAGAGACTTCTTTCAAAAACATAACAAATTCTAACCAACCCCAAACTCTTAAGCAGTAACCAATATGTAAAATAGTTTTTTAGATTCAAGATTTTTTTATTTGTCACATACATGGTTATATAGAGAATATATGACCAGCAGTGAAATGTAAGTCAGGTCCGCTCCATGGACAGTGCAATTATTAAAGAATACAAACACAAGAAAATTATATATAAATATAGGTATGGAAAAAGTAAGATTAAAAAAATAAGAATAAAATAAAACCGTAGATATAAAATATACTGTAGACTTAATAAATATTAAGATGAGCAGGAATATACAAGAGAAGAATGTGCAAACAGGTTGTACAGGGTAGTTACATAGCAGCAATAGAGGTAAAAAAGTAAATAAATAAAATATTACAGAAATTGCTGTGTGCAAGTGACAATGTCAGTATATTAAGTATCTTACTGATAATTAAGTGAAGTCATGTTTTTAATTATGTTTTATTCCTTCTTTTTGGCAGAGGAATTTTTTCGGGCTTTTTGGGCTATGTAACTTAAGCTCTTTTTCACATCAGAACAAATACATTTTATTGAAAACATTGAGTAAGGGACCATTCACACAGAACATGTGTTTGCTTTGAAAACTGCGAGACGCAGACAGTGGAATGGGGAAAAAGTTCTTGAGATGTGTTTTTTAAAAGTTCAACTTATTCTAACTTGAGTGCTGCTTTTTTAGAACGCCATGTCAAGACGCTGCAAAATAAGAAATGAACGCAATGGTCAAACACGCCCGTCTAGAGCGTCTAGAAAAACAATGGAAAAGTAGCACAGTGAAACGTGTTCTGTGTGAGCGGACAGTAAATAAAATAAATAACCTTTCATTCAATGTGTGTACAGCATCAGAGAGTGATCTGCAGTGCAGACGACTGAAACTGGACTATGAAGAGATCACTCCATGTCTGAAAGATGTCACTCTGGTCTGGGAGAGAATGCTCAACACCACTGGGAGGTCAAAGGTCAGATTTGCAACCGAGGAGATCCACACAGCAGTGGGACAAGGTGAGTTACACACACACACACACGTAGATACATAAGAATGTTGAAACTGATGTAACGATGAGTTGTATGAGGTTTGTCAGTGAATGTTTTGACACCTGGATTAACTGATCTAGAACTGTACATTGAGTGAGGAGTATGTAATATGTTGTTTTAGACAGCTTATGTATCATCATGGGCGCCAGAAAACCTTTTTTTTTTTTTTTTTTTTTTGATTTTAAACACCATAATTCACACAAAATATTAATTATTCATCATCAGTAGATCAAAACAACACGGCATGTTGGCATAAATGTGGGTTATTTGGTGATTGCTAACTGTGTTTTTATTTTGAAACATGATGTGCTCACGTTTAATTAGTTAAATCACAGCCGTATAAGTTTAATGATCACATTTAAGCAATAGGGCAATTCCTATTTTTCCATCCCAAGATTTAAAATTGAGACTTTGAAGCAGCACTATTTATGGAACACAGATGACACACAGATTACATCCAAGCAAGTTACTGAACTCTCACTGTATGACGTTACAGAACGTTGTCCGGTCCAGTTCCTTTCACACAGCAGTGTTGTGTTTCTGTTAATCTGCGTGTTGACATAAAGATACTCTCGTGCTGTGGTTATTTACTAGCGAATGCATTGTACATTCTGCTTACAGTATATCAATGGAACACGTGGAACATACCAACTATACAAACTGTGTGGGGGGAACCTAAACTGAGCCATTCACTATATAGGTTACTACAACCAGTGCGTCACTAAAAATGAGTGTGTGAGTTTGTTTACAGAACGTTGTTGTCATTGCTGCAAACTCCCATATAAATAATTATTAAAAAATATATAATTTCCCTGCAGCCAGTGCAGTGTAGGGACCCACTGGCTCCAGGCCCCTGGGCTTCAGCCCCTTGAAGCCCGTGCATTAATGCGCCCCTGGTTGTCAGTTTTTTAGAGGAGTGTAAACTGAGTTATCTGTGTGCATTTATTTTGAAGCCTTTAATTTGCATTTCCTGAAAAAAAGTGGAATGTTTTTCACATTTGATGTTTATTTGGAGTATGTGTGTGAGTGTTTAATTTAGATACAGGAGCTGTCTCTTTGATAGTCAGGTTTTTATAGAGGTAGTTCTGCGGAATGATTGGTGAGATTGCACACACCTATGCACACAAGCACACACCTGTTCAAGTTCAGTGCAACTGTGGCATGTAACATTCACGTACACATACTTGTGCAGATGTTATACAGAGTTCATTATCGCTATGAATCTGGTGCAATTCTTTGCACTTTGCATGATCGTACTGATTATGCTTCATAAACTGCAGTGGGGACAAACTGCTGAGTGTTTGCAATTCTGTTTGGTGGCACTAGTGCCACAGAAATTAGACAAAGAGCTGTTTTTTTGGACTTAGTCTTCTTGAAGTGATTTTATGGACATCCATCTACATGTCAGATGAGATCACACACTACTGAAAAAGCACTCAAAACTGGTGTTCTGCTCAAGACATTCAAAAGATCCATCAATGAAACACTCTCGTATTGCTCTTCTTTCTGTTTTTCTCTCTCTCTCAGGCGTTCCTCGGCAGCATCGAGGAGAGATTTGGAAGTTTCTTTCAGAGCAATATTTGCTGAGGCAGGAGGTGCCCGGCGCCAAACCTCCGAACAATGACACTCCTTACAAAGAGCTTCTGAAGCAGCTCACATCCCAACAGCATGCCATCCTCATAGACTTGGGTTAGTATTACAAGCACAATGGTCTGTGCCAAAACCTAGTGGTCTGCATTGCTGCCTACATCTAACTAAAGGCTGGAATACACTACACGACTTTTAAAATCTGAACAGATTTTAAAACACTAGGCATCATACACTTACTTTGTAAACAGTCAGAGAGGAAAAACTGGGCATCATAAACTAAACGACTGAGGATCACACACAAACTCAATCAGAAACGTGCGCCTTGTTGCTAGTAGATGTGTGACAAACGGCTCAAAATAGGAAACAGATTTGATATCCTCCGACTGGATGGAATCAGAGTCTGAAGCTAAAAAATCAGAGTCTGTGACCATCATACACTACGTGATTTTCTATGGAATCTGTCAACTCAAACCTGCAGACTGGCTCTGACTTTCAGCAACTTATCCAAACTGTAAATCGGGACAAAAATCGTGTAATGTATTCCAGCCTTTAAATGGAACTTCGTAAGTGACTGATTTGGGACACTCTTGATAGGCAACAACTGTGCTCGATGCACAAATGTCGCTCTTCACATAAAGCGCACAGAAGACTAGGCCCACAACTGATTCCAATAGAATGTGACATTAGCATGTTGCTATGCTTACAAATCAGTATTCTATAACAGTGGTTCTCAACCAGGGGCCTGAGAAAACTTCCAGTGGGCTCCCAATAAAACTTACAATTATTAAATTATTTAAATTGTTATATTAGCATAGATCTTAATTAAAATCCTAAAAAAATAGTAAAAATAAATCGTAATATTGTAAAGATGTACAAAATTAAACTTACAACATTGTTTTTAACAGCACACGTACCAGAGGTACATATCAGCTTAGGTAGGAGGGCCTTTGAATATTGTCTTGGATATAGTGGGGCATTGAGAAGTCAAAAAAAAGTTTAGAACCATTGCTCTTCAAAAAAATAAATAAATAAAAATCGGGTTCAATAGTGGAATTTAACTTCAATTAAACTGGAATAACTGGAATTTAGTTCATTATAAATACAATGTAAAACTAATTCAATTTATTCTTTGGTACTGAGTGAAATATTCATATATTATTTATTATATTAATATTTGTACCGTTAAAAATTTTGGTGTCTGTAAGATTTTTTTTTTTTTTTAATTAATACTTTTATTCATCAGGGATGCATTAAATTGATCAAAAGGGACATTTATGATGTTACAAAAGATTTTTATTTCAAATAAATGCTGTTCTTTTGAACTTCATGAGATAATCTTACATCATAGAATTAGGGCTGCACGATAAATCGCATGTGATATTTAATGCGCATCTTGTCAGAAAGCCGGTTCTGTAATCAGCGGTAAATCTCCATCACCTGCGGGCTTTCACATTGAGCAGCATTAACTACACAGAGCCGTTGTTCACTGACGAGCTGCGCAAAAAATCGCGCGAATATGAACGTGGTTTTGCACAGCTCGTCAGTGAACAACGGCTCTGTGTAGTTAATGCTGCTCAATGTGAAAGCCCGCAGGTGATGGAGATTTACCGCTGATTACAGAACCGTCTTTACTGACAAGATGCGCATTACATATCGCATGCGATTTATCGTGTAGCCCTACATAGAATCCTGAAAAATGTATTAGGATTTCCACAAAAATAATAAGCAACACATCTGTTTTCAACATTGATATAATAACAAATAATATTACTTGAGCGCCAAATCAGCATATTCGAATGATATCTGAAGAATCGTGAGACACTAAAGTTTAGTTTGCTGAAAATTCAGCTTTGCCATCACAAAAATAAATTACATTTAAATTATATTAAAATAGAAAAAGTTAGTTTAAATCCTAATGATAATTCACAGTATTACTGTTTTTACTGTATTTTGCAGCCTCGGTATGCACAAGAAACTTCTTTCAAACATACACACATACATTTGAATGGTAGTGTGTGTGAATATAATATTTTGTAATATCATATTATTATAAATTTATTGAATTTCTAGGCAGCTCACTAGGTTTTGGAATGATTACTGTATTGCTTTTGTATTTTCCTTAGTCCTTTGTTATCTTCGAAGGTGGTCCGTTTTCTAGATCATTGCTGAATGTCTAGTAAACTTATTGTAGTCAACTGCATGTGTCTTGCTGTTGCTCAAGATGTTTTGCCCCTCAGAAATGTCGTGAGCAACAGAAACATGTCCTGCTTATTAGCTCAACTTGACACTTGGCAACATTAAGCAAGCCCACAATTTGGTGGGCTTGCTTAATGTTGCGTTGTAGCATGCTGAAAAACAGCTATTCTGCTCTTCTGTCTTAAAAATACACACTATCTTGTACATGCTCATGCTTGCCCTGTTTTTTTTTATTTTTTATTATTGTCATCTGGGTATACACACAAGTCTCCATTCTTTGTAAAACGATCATTAGCTCCGTTATTATAGAGAACAAACTTCTGCAGAACCTCAGTCAGGCTGAATAAATGGTTGAGACACTAGCGGAGATGGACAGATGTGAAGATGGAGAGATTAATGGGGAGGCTCAGACAAAGAAAGGGAGGTGTCATTGGCTCTCAGCACATTGACAGTGGGAAGAAAGAGAGATGGATAGCTTTACAACACAGGAAGAAACCTAATCTTATAGGAATGTATATTGTTTCTAGGAAGACGCCCTCTCAGACAGGAACATATAAGCTCTAATTCAATGCAATACTTCAAATTCTTATCTTGAGATGCTTGCATGCTTCATGTATGTATTTATGTTCTACAGCTTTCCAACCAATTGAGTGACACCATTTGCTAGGTTGTCACCATCTGCCACGTCAGATGCACACAGTCTACTTTTAGTACTTTTTTTTTTTTTTTGCCATTTTCATGTTAAAGTGAAAACAATGTTTCAAATTGTCGGAACTGGAAGCACGGAAGTTTAATATCTGTTTTTGTTGGGCACCTGGACATTGTGGAATCCCAGGAAATGAACAAGTGGACGCTGCTGCTAAGGAAGCACTTTCCACAAATATTGAAAAGTGTCCCATACCACCCACTGATCTTAAAACTACCATATTATCATCATCAAATGGACAAATGAATGGGGACAGTGTGTGAACAACAAACTGTATGAAATGAACCCGATTGTTGGTTAAAGTTGCATCTTTATTTTCAATAATTGATGGGAATAGATCATGGATACACAGTGCCAAATTGGACATTTCAGAATCAAGCAATAACAAAGGAAGATCCACTTATACGGTCTTCATGCCAGTGTCCAGTATCTTTAAAACATTTTTTTTTTACATTTTTTTTTTTAATTGTGCTAGTTTAAGTTCACTTAGGAACTGATATTACTCCAAAAATAGTTTTGAAGAAATTTTTAACAGAGTAAACCTGACTTAATCTTAGAGTTTTTATCTAAAGCAAACTTTAAAAACATTATACATGTTTTTAACTTGCTCTTTTAAATTATTTTAACTTGTTGCTTGCCATGAAAATAACCAAGGAAGCTGGCATGGCATTAAAACATCAACCAACCAACCAACCAGCCAACTCTGTAAAAGGAATTACTAAAAAAATATATATATATAGTAAAAGTGAAGTTAGTTCTGGGGGAAAAGTCTTGCATCAGTTGTTTGCAGATTCCACATAGTTTGATATTTATGTGTAATGCAATGAAATTCAAACACTGTAGTGTGACTTAAGTATCCAGATACTTGGCCTCTGTATAAACCTACATGAGAGAAGCATTGTGGGAGTATAAGCATATACTGTAGATGTGCCTCAAAAGTTGAAAACCAGCACCAGACTTTGGTTGATGATACCGTGTCAAATATATGAGCCCTGGTCTGGTCTGTTCTGTCCTTCGGTCAGTTCTTTCTTTCTTTCTACATGTGGCGCACACACATGAGAGTAACCCTCTGAATGAGTGTGAACACTAGAGGAGGAGATTGAGCCGAAAGAAGGGGGATCATATGTGTCTCTGCCAACATCAACAACAACAGCAGCATTGTTTTACTCAAACTGCACTGAAGAAAAAAAAAAGAATACTTGAATGATTATTCTTCTTCCTCTCCCAGGACGTACATTTCCCACTCATCCGTATTTCAGCGCTCAGCTGGGTGCTGGCCAGCTTTCTCTCTATAATCTACTGAAGGCATATTCTCTGCTGGACCCAGAGGTGGGTTACTGCCAGGGCTTGAGTTTTGTGGCCGGCGTGTTGCTACTCCATATGAGTGAGGAGGACGCATTCCACATGCTCAGATTCCTTATGTACGACATGGGACTGCGGAAACAGTACAGGCCCGATATGATCATACTGCAGGTACAGTAACATTGACATTGTCTCGTACAGTATATGACATCATACAGTAGTTTTTTTCACACCTAATGTTTTACACCTCAGTGGTGCTTTTGCAAAAGATTTCTGTTTCAAATTCCTAAAAATGTTCCCACAAAAATATTAAGTAGCACTTTTTAAGCAGCTGTTGTCAACATTGATGATAATAAGAAATGTTTCTTGAAGATTTCTGAAGGATCATGTGATGACTGGAATAATGGCTGCTGAAAATTAATCTTTGCCATCACAGGAATAAATTACATTTTAAATTATATTTAAAATGGAAAATGATGAATGTATTCTAATTTTAATGTGGCCACATATTCTGCCCTACAAAACCAAAATGGAAAATGAGAAAAAATATTTGTTTGATTGTCCATCCAAATGTGTTTCCTCTGAATCTGAGCATAATTGAGACTAACATGTCTGAGTACAGTTCATTGTTCTGTAAACTCAATTTCAGTCATAACTCGTTTATATGTAGTTTATGGGATAGATTTTGTATGACATGAAAACTGAAGTGTGATCTCATTATTGATTGATTGATTGATTGATTTTTTGCAGTTCACTTCCTGATCAGTAATGCATTGTGTTCCTTTAAACTGCATTTAAAAATCATATAAAAAAAACTAAACTGTTAAACACAATTTATCACATGTGTTATGCATACGCTTTGACAGCCCTGATACAAATCAAGCAAGAAACATTCTACAGCTAAGCATGCGTGAAGAATTTGATCCATAACTGTAGGCCAGGGGTTCTCAACTCTGGACCTCGAGATCCACTTTCCTGCAGAGTTTATCTTCAACCCTAATCAAATACACCTGAACAAGCTAATCAAGGTCTTCAGGATTACTACAAAGTTGCAGGTAGGTATGTTTAAAGGGTTAGTTCACCCAAAAATGAAAATTCTGTCATTAATTACTCACCCTCGTGTTGTTCCAAACCCGTAAGACCTTCGTTCATCTTTGGAACACAATTTAAGATATTTTTGATGAAATCTGAGGGCTTTCTGACCCTCCCATAGACAGCAAGGTAACTACCAAGTTTAAGGTCCAGAAAAGTACCAAGATGATCGACAAAGTAGTCCGTGTGACACCAGTGGTTCAACTGTAAAGTTACGAAGCTACGAGAATACTTTTTTGCGCAAAGAAAACAAAAATAACGACTTTATTCCACATTTTCGTCTCTACTGCGTCACTTGTGGACACGCGTTCACGACGATGACGTCATTACGCCGAATCTGGGTCAGCGCCGCTACACATATTTCATCAAAAATATCTTAAATTGTGTTCCGAAGATGAACGAAGGTTTCGAACAACACGAGGGTGAGTAATTAATGACAGAATTTTCATTTTTGGGTGAACTAACCATTTAATTCAGGTTGGAGCTAATATCTGCAGGAAAGTGGATGATCCCTTTAATGTTCATAAGATGAGAGAGATTGTCTTTGTGTATATACATTTTAATTAAATGATTAGCAAGTTTAGTTAGCAAATTTTGTATTCTACTGACTGATATTGTCAGTAACAGTTTTTCTCTTCTTTCTTTCTCAGATTCAGATGTATCAGCTGTCTCGTCTGCTGCATGACTATCACAGGGAGCTCTACACTCATCTGGAGCAGTATGAGATCGGCCCCAGTCTCTATGCCGCTCCTTGGTTCCTCACCGCTTTTGCCTCACACTTCCCGCTTGGATTCGTGGCACGAGTGTTTGGTAAATGCACACACCCTCATGCACACTTTAATACTCGCACAAACTTTCCCAATCAAAATAAGTTCCCGAGATTGCCCATTACCACATTGCTTTTTATAATTATGCATTTAACAGACACATTTATTTAAAGCAGGGACAGTCCCTTTGGACAAGCTCCGTGCTCAAGGGCACAATAGTCGTAGCTCTTGAATTGCGTACAACCTACCCAAAAATGAAAATTCTGTCATTAATTACTCACCCTCGTGTTGTTCCAAACCCGTAAGACCTTCGTTCATCTTTGGAACACAATTTAAGATATTTTTGATGAAATCTGAGGGCTTTCTGACCCTCCCATAGACAGCAAGGTAACTACCAAGTTTAAGGTCCAGAAAAGTACCAAGATGATCGACAAAGTAGTCCGTGTGACACCAGTGGTTCAACTGTAAAGTTACGAAGCTACGAGAATACTTTTTTGCGCAAAGAAAACAAAAATAACGACTTTATTCCACATTTTCGTCTCTACTGCGTCACTTGTGGACACGCGTTCACGACGATGACGTCATTACGCCGAATCTGGGTCAGCGCCGCTACACATATTTCATCAAAAATATCTTAAATTGTGTTCCGAAGATGAACGAAGGTTTCGAACAACACGAGGGTGAGTAATTAATGACAGAATTTTCATTTTTGGGTGAACTAACCATTTAATTCAGGTTGGAGCTAATATCTGCAGGAAAGTGGATGATCCCTTTAATGTTCATAAGATGAGAGAGATTGTCTTTGTGTATATACATTTTAATTAAATGATTAGCAAGTTTAGTTAGCAAATTTTGTATTCTACTGACTGATATTGTCAGTAACAGTTTTTCTCTTCTTTCTTTCTCAGATTCAGATGTATCAGCTGTCTCGTCTGCTGCATGACTATCACAGGGAGCTCTACACTCATCTGGAGCAGTATGAGATCGGCCCCAGTCTCTATGCCGCTCCTTGGTTCCTCACCGCTTTTGCCTCACACTTCCCGCTTGGATTCGTGGCACGAGTGTTTGGTAAATGCACACACCCTCATGCACACTTTAATACTCGCACACACTTTCCCAATCAAAATAAGTTCCCGAGATTGCCCATTACCACATTGCTTTTTATAATTATGCATTTAACAGACACATTTATTTAAAGCAGGGACAGTCCCTTTGGACAAGCTCCGTGCTCAAGGGCACAATAGTCGTAGCTCTTGAATTGCGTACAACCTACAATCCTTGGGTTTTGTTACCAGCTCTGAGGTTTAACCACTAAGCCACACCAGCCACAGATTAAAAGCATCTTCTACTGAACTAAAAAGTTCAAAACGAAACCATGTTAGGAGATATCAACAGGCCAGTCAGATACCAGTGTGGTAGATAGTGATGGATTGCCATTTTCTTAATTTCCTCAGAAGTGTTTATGAAGATGGCCTACATGTTTGACATTCTGTCTGGAAGGATACTGTGGAACACACACATAACAGCACATTCTTTCTTTTGTCGTTACCATATACAGTCAGGTGCACACATATCTGCACGTATACAGACACACACTGTCTGCAGAGAGATATTAATGAAATGTTGCAAGTTGGCACCAGTTTTTATCTTGATGGGCGGTTTTACAGGTTGGGGAATCATTTTTGCACCTGGGTTTTTAACTTTTTTAGTTATTTGTGTCTTCTAAGTTGCACCTGCTAATGCACATTCTTTCTTAAAACCCCTAACCCTAAGTATTTGGCGCGTAATTCGCCCTGCACATTACTAGAGACATAGATGATACCAGAAATCATGCAGAATTATTAATGAGAGGTGTGCTGTTACTTTTATAAGCTTAATGATGAAAAGAAAGCTGAAATAAAATAAAATATAAATATTAGATGTCAAACGTAAACTTTAAAAATTTCAACAAAAATCCGATATGTTGCCTTGGCAACTAACTGAAATAAAATGACTAAAACTGAAACTAAAATAAAGCTGAGTGTAAATATTAGTAAACACTAATAAAAATGACAAAAGCGCATAACAAAATTACTAGTGCTGTCAATCGATTAAACTTTTTAATTGGATTAATCATACCCTTTTTGTGGGATTAATCGCGAATCGTGATTCTTGCAAAACTGTATTTTCTGCAAGCTTATTTCAAGATAAATTTAGATGTCTTTTCAAAAAAGGACATTTGGAGACTCCAGAAGGACACTAAAGAACCAAGTGATTTAAGAAGACCATATAACTGATACATTTGTGCACACCAAAGCACACATTAAAATAAATAAATAAAATTCCTGAAAAAACTTTTCAGAATTCATAGTGTATAGTATGTGTACAGTAGAGAAGCCAAGTTGCGATACCGAACAGGACCACATGAAGATGCCAAAATACCCCTAAACCAACCATCTTGAGCTGACTGCATATACCTACTACAGTACACGGATCCATTCAGAATGACTAAACACAGCAACATACACATGAGGACAAATCAAAATATTATCCTGAATGTGTGTGGAAACAACGTGAATGTACTGAAATGTGTCTGTGCATAAATACAATGTATGATCTGTGGTGCTCATACACGGTTTGTTTGTTCATCAATATATCAGACTCACGCATGCTTACTGCATGAATCCTGTACGTCACCGCAATCGACTTTACCTTGATTGCAATCCTCGACATTCAACACTTTACTAGAGAGAAGCTGGTTTGCTTTATCCAGCCGAGAAAACGTAGTTTGCGTATCATACAGTGGTGGGATGTTTTGACGTTCTGTTCAGTCTGTATTTCACACAGAATATGACAGAGCTCGATGAATAATTCACTGAAAACACAACACTAGTTTTCAGTTTATTTACATTAGCACTGTTTTGGACTGATTGTTTGAATGCATTCACTTACTGGATTATTGGACTGAAAACTTTAAACAGAGTTTAACACCTTAAAATGATCTGATCGCAAACCGAGGTGAAATCGGGTAAAAGGTTTAGAATAGAAATTGTGCTTCAGTAATTTTGCGTTAATAATTAAAGATTTTTGGATTAATCACATGCATTAACGCGTTAAATGTTAACAGCCCTAAAAATTACTAAAACTTAAACTAAATTTAAATTGAAAACTGAAATTCTAAAAATAAAATCCGATTCAAAATATGAATAAATAATATAATAATATTATATAATGTAGAGTACTAAAGTGACTGGCAGCCAGTAAAATGAATGAAAAAGGAGGTGGTAGTACAAATTAAATAATTTTCAAACAGTAAATATAATAATATAGAGATGAAAGAGATCCGCACTCGTACAAATTAAGCCAAAAAGGCTTATTACATTTATTGCTCAGACCACAAAAATATGTGCAAAAAAGTGCAAATGTGCACATTTATAAGCCTTTTTGGCTGAATTTGGAGAAGTGCGGATCTCTTTCATCTCTATATTATTTTATATTTTGGATCTATCATAATCAAATAATTATGTTATTTGCCTACTGGATTTTTGGACGAGTGTTTGGCGCTACAACCTTTTCTAATTGCACACAGTAAATATAGAAATGGTTTGTCTGTGTGTGTGTGTGTGTGTGTGTGTGTGTGTGTGTGCACTGGCAAAGCCTAACGGTTTACACAAGCGAAGCTTGATCTGGCTGTTGCTAGGGCAACAGGAGCAGCACAGAGTGTGTGTGTGTGTGTGTGTGTGTGTGTGTGTGTGTGTGTGTGTGTGCATCCCTGTGATATGTTGCTGAAAAAAAATTCTGATAAGGTTTCAATTAACAATGTGTCCTTCGCCATTTATAATTTCAGAATGCAAAATCCTCTGCTTCTCTTTATCCTTCTTTTGCATCTCACTTTATCTCCTATGCGCATACTAAAGTAAATTATGCATGGTAATCAAAATCACTGATGCCTAACGACTGGCGCTAACTTTGTTTTGCTTAATCACAGTTCCGTGACTCTGTGTGTGGTGTGATTATAAGGGTGAATGTCATTGACCTTGTGACACACACTCACATCTTTTTCCAAGGGTAATCGCTCGAACTATCTTGTACCATCTTGAACCATCTCATTTTACACTGACTTACACACATACACATTTCTATTGACAATCTTATCTTTGCACATGCACATACATTTACAAACAAAGACACAACTCTCAACAATTCTGCTGGGGATTTTCAATTGCAGATTTATTTCTGCTATTTTTCTCATTGTTGAAATTGTATTTTTAAAATATATATATATATTAAGATATTTTCATGCATATTGGATATGTAATACTTTTTAATATTCATATTATTTAATATTATTTTTAATATTATTTATTAAACATAATCCACAACTTGGTGTGCATTCAAATATTTTAATGCATGATTTTGAGACAAAAAAATCACCCTATGCATATTGGATGTGTAATATTAATATTACAGTATTTTTAAATTTAGATAAACTTTGCCCTCTAATGCTTCTTAGTTATAAGTTATTTTATAAAAACAATTTAATAAAATAATGTAATAAAATCATAATTTAACAAAATCTCTAAAGCAATTTAAATTATTGATTTTATATTATTTTATTTATTTAGACAAAATTTTAAAGAATTGTAATATTGCTTATTTATTGGTTATATGGCATAACATGAAATAATTATTTTATTGTTATCTGCCAGAATTTTTTTATCGGTTTATTCATAATTGATTTGTTATCAGGCATGATGCTAATAGACCACTGAACTTAATTTGTGAACATAAATTATATTTGTATTATATCACTATGCAATATTGTAGTCAAATATTCTTTCTGCGACTGGGGTATCTTCAAAATGGATTCCTTGACGGAAACTGAAAAGTATTTATTGATTTTATATCTTCCAGACATGCTGTTCCTTCAGGGATCGGAGGTCATCTTCAAGGTGGCTTTGAGTCTTCTTGGTAGCCACAAGCCACTGATTCTCCAGCAAGACAATCTTGAGTCAATTGTGGAGTTCATCAAAACAACCTTACCCAATCTCAGCCTTGTGCAAATGGAAAAAACAATCAATCAGGTAATAAATATATCAGTGTTAGTGTGCATGCCTGCAGCATACCTGCAAATCCGATTCGCATATGCACATACGCACTTTCACTTGCGCTGAGTGTCAAGGCAGTGACACATTTGGGTGTGGATTCTATTTGTGCTTTTGTGGTAACAGCAATATATGTGTATCTTTCCCTACACAATCAACATGTACTCATGCTCGGGTGTGTCTTGTGTTCATCTTCATATGTGGTTTTCATAAGTACTAGTTTCATCATGAACTCGGCACAAATAATAGATGGAGTTAGTAAAGTATGGGTGTTGCTCAGTGTGTGTCTGTGCATGTGTGTGTTTTATGTCTGAAACGATGAAAAGGGTTTCATGCAAGAAATTTACCACAAGTTCTCTTGAATATTTTAAATAATGCCCAACCATGTACAATGAATAGATTCAGCAGCAAGAAAATAAATGAAATAAAGCAAGAGTAACAGCAAGAACAAGTGTATGGAAGCTTGTCTGCACCACTGAATAAAAATAAAAAAGGTAATTGTGACTTTTATTGATTTTATTCACAATTCTGACTGTATAAATCGCAATTGCAATTTATAATCTCGCAATTCTGACTTTTTCTCAGAATGTGAGTTTATATCTTGCAATTCTGACTTTATAACACAATTCCGAGTTATAAAGTCAGAATTGTGGTCTTACAATTCTGAGAAAAGAATTTAGAATTCTGAGGAAAAAAGTCAGAACTACAAGATATAAACTCGCAATTGTGAGTAAAAGCGTCAGAATTGAGTTAATATCTCAAAATTCTGACTATTTCTCACAATTGCAAGTTTATATCTCGCAATTCTGACTTCATTTCTTGTAGCTGTGTTTATATCTCACAGTTCTGATTTTATCACTCGGAATTGAACGTTTTTGTCTCGCAATTCTGAGAAAAAAGTCAGAACTAATAAAAAGTCGCAATTACCTTTTTTTTTTTTTATTTAGTAGCGAAAACGGGCTTCCATACAAGTGCAATACAGTGGGTATAGAAAAGAATCACCCCCTTTAAAATAATCACATTTAGTTGCTTTGCAGCCTGAAACGACGGCGGACACAGTGTTTTGTTTTATCCAGCTGTATTTACTCAGTGCAACTTATAACATCCAAGTGAAAGATATAGCACCAACATGTCAGAAAAAAAACAATAAAAAAAAAACAGAATCACTGAGTTGGAAAAGGATCATCCCCCTCCTACAAATGGCTCATAAACTCAATCAGGTGTAGCTAATCACTTTCTCAATGGCACATTTGACTTTCAACTGTGATCAGCTGTGCTCATTTTGATTAGCTCAGCATGAAAAGAGCTTTCCTGGGCATTTCAGTCCTTGGTAGTGCAACTGAAGCAAACAGTCAACTATGGGTGGCAAGGCACTGTCAAAATACCTCCGGGATAAAGTTGAGGACAAGCACAAGTCAGGAGATGGATACAAAAAAATTCAAAGGCTTTTTCAGTGCCTAGAAGCACAGTGAAGTCTATTATTAAGTGCACCAAAACATTGCTGGTCTAGAAGTAAGAACCGCTTGCGTCAGGGGCTGGGGGCGGGGTTACTGTGACCAACAAGAAGAACAGACATTTTTAACCGCCATTTTTGAAATAGCAGCTAAACACGAACACGTTGGATTTGCAGTGTTTGAATGCCGATGTAGGTTCGCAAAGCCATGAACATTAATAGCAATGCAACGTCCGCCATTGTTGATGGTGTGTTTAGGCTTGTTCGGGATGCATCGACGCTGTGCGGACTGGTCGGTGTGTGGCATCGGGGTGCCGTGGGAATGATTAGAAAGCAGACGACTCTATATGCTTTTGGATCGCTTTCGCGGTGCTTTGGTGTCGTGCACCGATCGGTCTGCATGGTGCGATGCATCTCGAACAAGCCTGTTGTGTTTGGCATTGCCGTGCTAATGTTTCCGGGAAAGATGAGACGTATTCAGTGACGTAAGACCTGGCTCTGTGGTGGCTCTCTAGTACGTGGAAAGGCAAACCGGTTCTTAGAAGGCTCGCCAGTTGAACCAACTCCGAACCGGCAATAGCGCTGGCTCTGAACTAGCACCCGGTTCATGCTAGTGGAAAAGGGGTAAGAGAGGCGACCAAGAGGCCTACAGTAACTCTCAAGCAGTTGCAGGAATTTATGACAAAGAGTGGTCATTGTGTGCATGTGATAACAATATCACAAATTCTCCACAAATGTGGCTTGTATGGGGGGGGTGCAAGAAAAAAAGCCATTCCTCAAGAAAGGCCACATGCAGTCATGACTGAGCTTTGCCAAAACACACCTTGAAGATTCTGAGGCAGATGAGACTAAAATTTAATTATTTGGCCTCAACACCAAACGATATGTCTGATGTAAATCCAGTACAGCTCACCATCCAAATAACAGCATTCCTACAATAAAGCATGGATTTACCTTCCAACATGGCAATGACCCAAAGCACACAGCAGAACTGAGCACACAGTGGTTGAAGGAGAAAAAGGTGAATGTCCTTGCATGGCTTAGTTAGAGCCCAGACTTAAACCCCACTGAAAATCTGTGGAATGACTTGGAAGACTGCAGTCGACACTCACCATCAAATTGAACTTAACTTGAGCAGTTCTGCAAAGAAGAGTGGGCAAATATTGCAAAGTCTAGATGTGCAAAGTTAGTAGAGACAAATCATAACAGACTAAAGGCTGTAATTAAAGCAAAAGGTGGTTCAACAAAATACTGACACAAGGAGGTGACCCTTTTTCCGACTCAGTGATTCTGTTTTTTTTTTTTTTTCTGACATGGTGGTCTTTTCTATACCCACTGTAAGTATAGCCAAATATCTCTTTAGCTCTTATCCCAGCAAGGAGAGTCAATAAGCAAATACTTTTGGGAGAAGTACAAAAGAGAAACAAACCAAAAATATTTTGGTATAGAGAAATGGCTAGAGGAACACATTTTTACATTTTTTTTGGTACTTTGTAAAGGGATTGATAAATACATTTTAGAGTAGACACAGACAAATGAAAATCCAAGCTCCTAAAACACTTCAAAAGCACTGTGAAGTGGTTAATGTGACTTGTGTGCTATATTACAAGTCTTGCAAAACATATGATTACTGTGTGAGGAACATACTGAAATTTGCGCTGTTATTCGATTAATGATTTTTATGGTGAATTTTAATTTTATGTGTACTATCACTTATTATGACAACTTATAGGACAATATGAAATTAGATTATTTTTAAATGTTACACTTTATTTTTATGCTGCTTTTGCTGCAGTACAAATTTCTCATCTTTTTTCTTAAACAAAAAAAAGAAGAAAAGAAACTATTATATACAGAGAGAAAGTGTGTGTGTGTGCTTATGACACTATAAAACAAGACACAAGTTGTGAAGAATACACACACACACACACACACACACACACACAAAGGGCATATGTTTTTGTTTTGTTGTTTTTGGATGCTGGATGATGATCATTAGAGTTTTTTCAGACCACCCCAATCTTACAAACTGAAGTTTGTATGCACAAAGAAACATGCTTTGACTTGCCCAGCTTTGACATTCTCATCTTGTATGTTTGTACATGTCTGTGTAGGTGTCTGAGATGGATATCAGTAAACAGCTGCAGGCTTATGAGGTGGAATATCATGTTCTTCAGGACGAGCTCTTGGATGGTCCCTCCACTCTCAGCCAATCACAGCGGGTGGCCCAGTTGGAGAAGACCAATGGAAGCCTCCGACAGCAAAACTTAGACCTCCTAGAGGAACTTCAGGTGGCTCAAGCAGACTACTTTTATATGTTTGCCTTTATGTAGATTAAAGGCTTATTCACACTGTATTTGAATTTTTAGCGTTAATGTAAACAAAAAGATTTCAAAGGGAAGTGGTGTATCTTTATAAACTCCACTCAGCAAAAAATGCTTTTTTTGTGTGCTTTTTAGTTTGTGTATTATAATTTATTCAGTTGTTTAAACTGAACATCAAACATAAAATAGTTTCCTTGCAAAAATTGTTCCTAAATATTTTTATTTATATATATATAAACAATGGTGCATCTTTATGAACTCCTTAATGCAAGATCCAAAATATTGCACTGCAAAACTTAGTTTTTCATTGCTATGTTTTTCTTTTCTTTTTTTTTCCTGTTTTTTTTTTTATTTTATTTTTTATTTATTCAGATTCAGAAGCGCCAGATTGTCATAGCAAAGTCAGAATTGACCCTTTTTTTTTTAGAAATAGCCTTTGTGAACAGCCAGTCTTGTACTCTTCTAGGTTAAAAAAACTGTCGTCCATAAAATGCTTTGCACAAATGACTTTAGTCTTTGTAACTTTACAGATCTTCTTTATGCACCAAGAGCTTGTAACACTCCAAAGAGAAAGGAAAACTTGAAATCGCATCATATGACCCCTTTAAATTTAGCATAAGACGTAGTGTAAATGGTTTCCTTGCAAACATTCTTCCTGAATATTTTATACATAAGATTTCAAAGTGAAATGGTGCATCCTTTTTTCCGGTTTGTAATGTGTGCTTGTTTTTTGTTTAGTATTTTTGGTTACGAGTTATTTAAATTCTGTTTAAATTCTGCTATTTAAATTCAGCATTATATACAGTGTGAATTGTTTCCTTGCAGAATTTCTGTCTGAATATTTTATACTTTATTTTTTATATTGCATCTGGCTTGGAGTGAACAAGTCCTTATCGTCTTCCATCAGGTTGCCCACGCAAAGATCAGATGGCTGGAGACTCGTGTGGATGGCCTAGTGAATCGAGAGGCGGAGCTACAGTCGGAGGTAAAGACTCTCCAACAGGAACGGACAGAGCTGCAGCAGACTGCATCCAATCTCAGAGATCTCCTCAGCAGTCTGGGTATAAACAGCCCCTGCCCTGACCAGGAAAACCTCACCAACACAAGCAACAACCAGTAACTGTGCCAGTGAGGATACAGAGTCTAGTCTTTATAAACACTCAACTGTCTTCACTTGATCTGCTATCAAGCTCCTCCTGTAAGCATCACCTCTGTCGTCATCCTACTGGCTCTGTCGTTCTCTAGACAAGCTATCTTAGTGGAGATGGACAGGTAGGTTTTCAGGGCACTGACGTTCCTTCAATGGAGATTTTCTTGAAGGGCTGAAATTGTGTCTTTAGAGTCAGATCTTGCCAGAACTGATAAAACAACCTAAAAGATCAAAACATTAAAACAGTTTAAAAGAATAGCTGAGATTGCCACCCTTTCTGGTTATTACAGCTTATGTGACTGATGTTTACTTTCTGGACAGAGACATTTTGGGTCACCATTTTTAATAGACACTCCTTTTTACGCTCCCTGCTGTCGATTTGGCAATAGCAATGACCCCAACGAAACCTTTAAGGTAGATTTGATTGGCGTTCAGACATCAGACTGACAATTCCCCAGTAAGCACTGAACAGCCCGCTACGGATAAATGCACTCTTGCTGTGCAGCGTATTGTTTGCACCCTGTTCTTATTTCGTGTGAATGTTTGTGTGTGAGCATGTATGTATGTGGAAATCTACCATTATATTCCAGTGCAATATAAGCTAAAAAAAGACAACCCTCCTGTACACTGTAAACCTGCACAATCTTCTGTTCTAGCAGAAACCAAAGAGTTCAAATCTGAGTGCATTTCCATAAACAGAAAAATGTTTTATAATTATTTTCATCTGAGACTCAGACCGAATGCTGCTGGTTTACTCAGATCACCAAGAAATCTCTTGCTCTTAAACACAAAAATCCTCACTCACACTTTCCCGAAATAACATTAAAACTATTCAAACAACATTCAGTCCCTTTCATTATTACACACTAATGCAAAAGTTGACATATGAGGGCAGTATCCACCAGTTTGTGTATTTTGGATCATTTGGATTTTGAGGTCTCCAGTGATGGCATTTTAGCTACTTGGCTGCACTGCTGTTGATATGGTACTCAATGAACCAAAGATCTTAATGTTTTTATTTCAAGACTTTTTCTGTGACAAACCGCACGTGTCTGGTGCTTAAGTACAGGCTGAGTACACTGTACACGAGTGTCTGTTTTAAATGCACATTCAAGAGTTGTCACCTCTGTATTTGACTATGATATATTTTGACTGATGGAAATACATTGGGAAAGGGGAGCAAAGAAAACAGATCATCTTGCATCATTTGCATAAAGGTATGTCCTTACCCTTTGACCTCTTGTGCTTTTCTGGAGAATTCCATTTGTGTTTCTCAGTGTGGGAAAGACAGGTGCACTGTTAAAACATCAGTCTTGATGAAGTGCTTTATTTTTATTGGTTTTTATTGGGAGTATAATTCTTATAATATGCATTAAAAAAAATTTCAATTGATGTTAGTTCAGTTGATTTACTTGATATACAGGGTTAGTTTCACTTTGGTTGTGTGTGTGTGTGTTTGCTTGTGTGTTGTACCAAAGAGCAGTTCCATGTAATGCTCTGTTGAATCAGATGTTCTCTTGAATCAGACTTACAAGTTTCATTATACAACATTGCACCTGATTTCAACTGATCTAAAGTGAATATGGTAAATTTCTTTAGGTCTCAGTACTTAAGGCATCTGTATGAGCTGTTCTCAGTGTTGCCAATTTGGGGATTTTGTCGCCAAATTTAGCTACTTTCTCATTGGAGCTGCGACTTTTTTTTATTTTTTGCGACAAGGAGCTATTTTAGCTATATTTAAATAAAACTAGCGATTTTTTGGAGATTTTTTATTTTTTACTTGGCCACACCCTGCCGTAGGCCCGTGACCGCTCACGTTTGCTCTCAATCATGCCAATGAGCCTGCGCAGTGAACAGACCAGTACGCCACGCCTGCCATGGCGCACACCACAATTTCATTATAAGCATCAATCAAGATGCCGGAGAAAAAAATGAACATCTTGTTTTAACCACGGACACAAAAGTTATACCACAGTTCATGCACATGTCAACCAGATACTGAGAGAGACGCAGTGCATCATCGTGTCGTGTGCTGGGATGCAGTATTTTGTCAATATGGGGTGCTGTGTGTACATTAATGAGGAAAAAAATTAACTTAAATGATTTTAGCAAATGGCTGCAATATAACAAAGAGTGAAACATTTAAGGGGGTCTGAATACTTTCCGTACCCACTGTATATATACATATATATATGTGTATGTATATATGTGTATATATGTGGACAACAGAATTGGGACACCTGACCATTACACCAATAGGGACTTTAATTGCATTCTAAATATAGTAGACATTAATGTGGATTTGGTCCCCTTTGCAGCTGTAACAGGCTCCACTCTTCTTGGAAGACTTTCCACAAGATTTTGGAGTATTTCTGTGGGAGTTTTTGCCCATTCATCCAGTAGAGCATTTTTTAGGTCAGGCACTAATGTTGGACAAGTCCTGGCTCTACATCTCCATTCCAGTTCATCCCAAAGGTGTTGGATGGAGTTGAAGTCAGTGCTCTATTCAGGCCAGTCAAGTTCTTCCACACCAAACTCATCCAACCTAATGTCTTTATAGACCTTATTGTCCAAAATGTCTTGATATTCTGAATATGATTTTCATCCAACACTTGGTAGCTGGTGATGTGAGGCTTGCTTGCAGCTGCTCAGCCATGGAAACCCATTCCACAAAGCTCCCACTGAACAGTTTTTGAGCCGATATTAATGCCCATGGAAGTCTGAATCTGTTCAGCTTTGGAATCAGCAGAGCATTGGTGAGTTTTACACACTTGGTGCCCATGCGCTGTGACTTTACGTGGTCTTCTGCTTCGTAGCTGTTACTAAACGCTTCCAATTTCCAATAATACCACTTACACCGTGTCTACACCAGACATATTGTAGACTCGACAAAATACTATAGAACCCATGATGCTGTCACTGGATGCGGCGCGGGACACGACACGACAAATCCCCAACAGTAAACTGATGTCTTGTTCTGTCTAGTTGCAAAAGTGGAATCCTATAATCGTGCCATGCTTGAATTCACTAAGCTCTTCAAACTGACCCATTTTTTCACAAATTTGTCAAAAAATAAATGCAGACTGCATGGCTAGGTGCTTGGTAGCCATTGACTTCCATAGCATTTTTTTCCCATACTGCGGAAGTCAGTGGTTACCGTCAACTGTTTGGTTACCAGCATTCTTCAACATATCTTCTTTTGTGCTCAACAGAAGATACAGGTTTGGAAAAACTTGAGGGTGAGTAAATGATGACAGAATTTTCATTTTTGGGTGAAATATCCCTTTAAATTATGGGTACGTGAATGAAATTTGCAGTTTGCAAATAGTTAGGAATTGTTATAAATACATTAAAATGATATAATTTCAGTTCAGACTGGATTATATTTTCCCAGCATAGAAGTTCAGAGTGTGTGTGTATGTTTGTGTGTATATGTTCAAATGCTTAATTTTAATTAATATGTGAAAAAGGATAACAATGAAGAATTTTAATATGAATAAGTTTTAATTCCTTTAGACATAAGATAAATTGTACATTGTCTTTTATTTGGGTCCTGAGCCAAAATAAGTGTAAGAATCCTGGCTATTAATATCTTAAACCTACTGCAGAAAGTGCTTTTATGATGTCTTTGTGTTGGGCTTGAAATGGATGTGTAGGTGTTATTGATTGCCTGCGATTGTCAGCGCTTATCAAACATTTCTTAAACCATGTGCAAATACTGTTTTTTAACTTAAGCCCTGGAATCAGTGGAATCTGTGTGATGTGTAATAGCTCACAACATTCAAATCCACTAACTATGATCAAAGTCAAAAGACAGTAGACGCACACATTACTTAATAACAGGTGCATGTTTAGATACTTCTAAAAGCACGGAAGTGACTTATCTGGACAGTTGATTGATGATAACACGGCTCTATTATGTGTACACTATGACTTTAGCAATATATGTTTAAAAATATTTCACAATCATGTATTAAAAAAAAGTCTTTCTCTGATTAAGTGCTGTAGAGCCTGTTCCTCAGCTGTCGTGAACTGTCAGAGTCAGTTTGCTTGCCAAGTGCCCGAGTTTTCCAGGTGCCAGTTAAGCTCAGATTAGCCATCTTTAATACATTCAGAACAAAGTCAGCTAGCACACACACACACGTCCTCCCACTCTCGCTTTCTCACCTTTCAAGTCAATCTAGCTAGTTGTTTTGTGCAATAACGTCTCCAGTTACTGTCGTAACCTCGGTTCCCTGAGAGTGGGAACGAGACATTGCGAAGCATTCGCAGTGAGAACTCCTCCCCTTCTCCGAAAATCCTGAAACCTTATAGGATAATGCCAGTACAAAAAAGTGGTATAAATAATGCGCTAAATGGACAATTGCCTCCGATTCTAAGACTGAACACTTGCAATACTGATCGAGCAGCGATCACGACGACCTTCGCAATGTCTCGTTCCCACTCTCAGGGAACCGAGGTTACGACAGTAACCAAAACGTTCCTTTTTGAGCGTTCACTCTACATTGTGAAGCATTCGCAGTGGGAACAGTATACAATCCCGCCGTGAGAGCGGCGATAATCAGCCCGAACCAAGGGCTAAGACCACACCAAGCATGGGGTAGAACAACACACAATTCCCAACCAATAGCAATGCCGCTAGGAAAGCCCGCAGCTGATAGGCGGAGCTAGACCAATTAACGTCTTAACTCAGGTATACCAAATTAGCATATCAGAATAAACGAGCAACTGCACCGAATACAGGGCAGACACAATAACAGTAAGCAAGGTAGCTCTGTGCAACATAACAAAAAGCACATAAAAATGTACATGGGCCTGCACAGTGTCAACAGCTATAAGCGTTAACAAACTGTTCCCCGAATTGCAGCATAGCAAAAAACTATAAAAATAAGTGAGGTTAGTCACTCACCGGAAGCACTTGAGACGCCAAGGATGGCACATCCAACTTGTAAAACCTGGCGACTGTATTCTGCGTGGACCAGCCAGCTACAAAGCATATATCTCGAACAGAAGTGCCTTTAGACCAGGCCCATGAAGAGGCAATAGCCCTCGTCATATGGGCTCTGATGTTGAGAGGGCATTCCTGTCCCTGGCTGGCATAAGCCAACACGATAGCGTCCACTATCCAGTGAGAAAGCCTCTGCTTAGATACTGCTCAAATTGACCTGCGCTTTAAAGGGGTTAGAAAGAGATTTAGGCATGTAGCCCGGTCTCGGCCGGAGAGTAACACTGCAGTTCCCAAGCCCAAAGCAAATACAATCATCCTCCACCGAGAGCGCATGCAGATCTCCTATGTGCTTAGCCGAAGCAAGGGCAAGAAGCAGAGCAGTTTTGAGGGAGAGCTCCCTCATAGCAACAGATGCCAAGGGCTCAAACAGGGGTAGAGAGAGAGCTTTCAGAACCAGCGCTAGGTCCCACGGCGGCACCGACGGTGGGCATGGGGGATGTAGTCTCCTCGCTCCCCTGAGAAATCTGACCACCAGCATATAGCTCCCGATCGATTGCCCATCAACCGGGGAACGAAACGAAGCAATAGCGGCCACATAAACCTTTAACATTGACTGTAGACTCCCGTTATCCAGCCTGTGCTGCAGAAAACGTAAAACATCTGACACGGGACAGCTTGCCGGGTCAATATCTCTATCACCGCACCATTTCACAAACACTCCCCTTTTAAGGCTCTCATCAATGAAAAGGACTGGCAAAAGGGGAGGGAGGGGAGGCTCGCTGGTGGCAGTAGGCCTCGTCCCCATAAGGCCACGAGTGATGCTCCTCCGAGTCCTCAAAATGCATGCCGGCAAGCCAGCGCAGTGCACGCAGTTGTACTCCGAGTACGTTGCCTCACCGTGGGCCAGGCCCAGGCAGGCAATGCAGTGCTTGGGCGGGTCGATGGGGCCCGCACAAATTCGGCAAAAGGTAGCCATCGGATGTGATAAAGAAGCTGTCGTATCTTCTGATGCATCTTCAACGATGGCAGCGTGAAGGAGAGGCAATTGTTGCTTTCACCGCATTATATACTGCCCGCAGGCTTGTCAGTATTTGCATGCTATTTGCATAATTTGCGACAATTGGCCAGTTCATTGTACTGGCGATATCCTATAAGGTTTCAGGATTTTTGGAAAAGGGGAGGAGTTCCCACTGCGAATGCTTCATAATGTAGAGTGAACATTTGAAAGGGAACTCGAATGTTTTTTTTATCTACATCTTTTCACAAATGAGGCACCAGACTAGTTGTTTGGCAAAGCCATCATTCTATTGTTCTGGTTCCTTATCACCTTTCTTTCTCACTTACTTTACACACCTATTTTCTACTTGCCAACATT